TTCTGAAATGATGAATGGTACCAAATTCTATATATACTATGTTTTTTAAGCCAGATAACTGAGACAGCTACTAAGTAACTAATGGGCACGTAGTGTGTATAGTGCGGATATGCTGGACAAAGAAATAATTTATATCTAGTATGAGACAAAGCAGAATGGTGCAAGATTTCATCATACTGTTCAGAATGGTATGCAATTTAAAAATTATGAATTATTTTTGAAATTTTCCATTTAATACTTTTGAGTCACAGTTGACCATGAGTAACTGAAACTATGGAAAGCAAAACTATAGGCAAGGGGTGACTGCTCTACTGGTCATGTGATGAACCTTACAAATTGAAATCACATGCTCTTTAGTTCTAGAAATGTTTTTTAAAGGTTGTGTCCTATCTATTGTTTCTCTTCTCTCCTGGTAAAACATATTTTTTATATCCATTTATTTTATCATTCTTATTTATCCTATTTCCCACTAACCTCTTTTTTTCATTCTGCTTTTAGAGAGATTTCTCCAATGTTATCTTCTTACTACTTTATTGAGTTTTCCATTTCTGTTATCATATTGTTAATTTCCAAAGGCTCTTTATTTGGTTCTCTGAATGTTTCCTTTTTCTTTTCTTTCTTTTTTTTCAAAAAAGGCATCTTGCTTTGTTTTGTCCAAGGATCCTCTCTTATCTATCTGAAGATATTAATGATAGTTTTCTGAATTTGAAGTTTCATTTCCTTGCATAAACTCTGCTTTCAAAAAGTTTTATGTGTTTGGTTTTTGCCTCATTTTTTTCATATCACTGCCACTTCTCTGAAGTCTGGTGATCCTTGGCTCTCTGCAACTATTTAAGAGAGGGGCACTAAAAGCTAGCAGAGCCCTTTGCTCAGAGGTAGGGATTTTCAACTGTGGATCTCACTGCAGGGAGGTTTGACCAGTTTTGTTCACTGGAGAGTCTCACTCAGAATCATTAGTTATTTCCTTTCAATTTGGCCAGATCCCTAGAAGAAAAATCTTCTCATCTAGAGAGTGTGGCCTGGCTGCCATCACTGTGGGGTCTGAGTGGAGAAGGTGGTTGAAACTATAGAAACTATAACTTAATCTCCCATGTCTGTGGTCTGGAGCTCTCACCCTCAAAGGTTGTTGAGGTCTCTCAGTTGAGAGGTTTTCTACTTTACTTGTCTAGAGGAAAAAGTCCCAGTATTCTGGTAGGGTGAGTGAGGGGCAGTCAGTAGGTGAATGCCTCAGGAACGGACTGGATGTTCTAACTACTCCTTAAGGGAACTTTAAATGTATCTTTCTGTTTGTAATCTGTCTTCATTCTAACTTCCAGAAGTAGCTAATGCTGCTGATTTCAGAGCTGTTTGCTGTTGTTGTTGTTGTTATTGGTTCCATGTTTGCTTCTCAACTTTCTCACTGCTGGTTTAGGATTCAGATTTCTTTAATCACTAAGTTAGTCACGACTTGCCTCCTGCTTTCCAGCTTCTAAGTGTTTTAGTATTGTTTCCTCTTCCATTTATCTTGTATATGTGGATTTGTCTTTTTATCTTATTGATTCTCGAATCACTTTAGTATTAATTTAGTAGGACACCAAGAGGGAAGAGAGGGGTATTGGGTTTCTACTGCTGCCCTAAAAAATTACCACAAACTTAGTGGCTTAAACACTGCAAAATTTCCCTACAGTACTGATGGCTGGAAGAGTGCCAGGGGATTCACAGGGCTGAAGTCACGGTGCTGACAAGTCTGTTTTCCTTTCTGGAGACTATGTGGGAAGATCCACTTCCTTGCTCACTTGAGGCAGAGTTCAGTTCCTTGTGGGTGTCAGACTGAGATCCTGTTGCTTGCAGGTTGTCACCTGAGGGCCATTCCAAGCTTCTAGGGACCACTCACACCCCTTGACTCATGGCCCCTTACTCCATCTTCTCAGCCAGCAATGATGAGTCGAGTCCCTCTCACACTTTGAATCTCTCTTTCTTTTTCTGTCATTGGAGCTCTCTCTGACCACAGCTGGGCAAGATTCTCTGCTTTTAAAGACTCATGAGATTAGATTGGCTCCACCCACATTGTCCGGGATAATCTCCCCTGCTTGAGCTCAGTTCCTTCCTCACATCTGCAAAGTTCCTTTTGCCTTGTAAGGTAACAGAGTGAGAGATTTCAGAGATTAGAGAGTGGACATTTGGAAGTTGGAGGCTCAGCCCACCATGGGAGGTAAATGCACACATTTAATCCTCATATTTAACTGAAAGACTCCATTGGTGAGCTCTTAGGGAATGCTAATAAGATTGACTGGGACAGGGAAGGGTTCAAAAGTCATGCCTATGGGAAAGTGAATATACTGAATGTTTTAGCTCAGAAGATAAGAAACCAGAGATGAGAGTTACTTACAAATCATTTGCATACAGTTAATAAGTTTTTTTGTGTAACATAAAGCAAACTTGTTTTGAATAAACCCAGAAGGAAAAACTAGGATTGATATGGAAGGCTAGAAGAAGATAGATTTTGGCCTAACCAAGGAATGTTCTAAATTAAGGGCTGACCAACAATTGGGAGATCTATCTCAGGAGGTAGTGATCATTCTTTATCAATGTTAGGGTAGGGACACTACGCTAGGTAAGTTCACATATTATTCAGTCGTTCAAACATTCAAACCCATATACTGATTATCTTATACAATAGCTCCCCCTTGTCTGCAGTTTCAGTTTCCAAGTTTTCATTTACACTCAGCAGTGGTTGGTTATTTTTATTAATATAACATATTTTGAGAGTGAGAGAGAAGGTGCTTACCTACTTTTATTACAGTGTATTGTTATAATTATCCCATTATTACTGATTGTTGATAACATCTTACTGTGCCTAATTTATAACTTACACTTTGTCATTGGGATCTATGTACAGGAAAAATCATAGTATATACAGGGTTAGGTATTATCTGCAGTTTCAAGCATTGACTGAGGGTCTTGGGAGGTATCCCCCTTCAATAAGTGGGGGACTCCTGGAGGTGGCAAAGAGAAGTTAAAACAGTTTATTTTCTGCTCTGAAAGAATTTGCAATAGAATATTTTATGACTCTCTCACTTCACTCTTGTTCCTCATTCTCTCCTTTTATTCAATAAACATTTATTGAGCTCTTGCAATGGCCAGGCACCATTCTAGGCATTGAGGATACATCAGCAAATGAAACAGAACTCTCTGCCCTCAAGGAACTTACACTCTAGAGGGAGCACAGAGAAGATGCCTTTGACTGAGCTCTGCCCTCTGCCTGTTCAGCATCTCTTGCATCAGTCTTCTCCATGTCACCAACCATGACCATCATTCAGTCTTTTTGTGGCACTTAGCTCAATAACTGCAGTGACACTTAAATGGTGTCTGCTTTAATCCATCCCACACCCTGCTTGCAGACTGATGTTGCTGAAGCAATGCTTAGTTAACTGACCTCTCTTGGTTTCCTCTTGCAGGCAGAAATCAGTGAAAGCCTCTTAGCTTGGGTTTTTCACACTCAGGTGGTCGTTAACCTCTCCACCTGCCTTTCCTAGGATTCCTCTTTGTGTCACTTTGTTACAGAAAAAACAAAAACAAGCCTCTCCCTAATCTCCGTTCATGCCCCACACCTTCCCCCTCTTTGCTTTTGCTGTTCCCCTGACCTGGGATAACTTTTCTCTCTCTCTACCCAAATCTTTCCTATCTTCTGAGTCTCAGGTCAAGTATCACTGTGTTTACAGAATTTTCTATGATTTTTTTTTTTTCTTTTTCTTTTTTTTTTTTTTTGGAGAATGAGTCTTGCTCTGTCACCCAGGCTGGAGTGCAGTGGCGCAATCTTGGCTCACTGCAACCTCCACCTCCCGGGTTCAAGCAATTCTCCTGCTTCAGCGTCCTGAGTAGCTGGGATTACAGGCGCCCACCACCATGCCCGGCTAATTTCTGTATTATTTAGTAGAGATGGGGTTTCACCATGTTGGTCAGGCTAGTCTTGAACTCTTGATCTCAGGTGATCCACTTGCCTCGGCCTCCCAAAGTGCCGGGATTACAGGGATGAGCCACCGTGCCCAGCTCCATGGTTTTCTTAATACCATTGCTTTCCTCTGAAGCCCATGGCACTCAGTGCACTCCTCCTTACATGATTTAACTTCATGTAAGCACATATTGTCTTTTCTTGTCATGTCACATGAAAGTTCGGTAAAGCAGAATTCATGCCTGATGTATTTTGTTATCCTCAATGCTGTGCTCATGCGTATTTCTGGAATGACTAAAGTAGAAGACGTGAAAGTAAATTCTAGTTTAATTTCTAATGTTTAAGACATGTGGCTAGCTAAATATAGTGGCCTACACCTATAACTCTAGCACTCTGAGAGGCCAAGGCAGGAGAATCTCCTTAGGCCAGGAGTTCAAGACCAGCCCAGGTGGGACCCCATAACGAGACTCCGTAGCCAGACTCTGTCTATATGAAAAAAATGACAAAATAACTGGGTGTGTGCCTGTAGTTCTAGCTACCCAGGGCTGGGAGGATTGCTTGGGGCCTGGAGGTCAAGACTGCAATGGGCTGTGATCACATCACTGCATTCCAGCCTAGGCAACAGAGTGAGACACTGTCAAAAAAAAGGAAAAGGAAAAAGACAAGAAAGAAACGTGAAGTGTATTCATCTTATTCTGCACAAAGGAGTACAAACGGCATCCTCTGAGCAAATTGCTTATGGAAAGCAGCCGGCAGGCAGCTTCCTTTTTCTTACTGCAGACATCAAATATCTCTAATATGAAAGGGCAGTAAGGTCATCTGTCCATCCCCCTGCTATAGTGGAAGGCTTCATAAAACTGTCCTACAAGGAATAAGTCATCTTTGGACAAGTCAGCCGCAGGATCCTGAGTGTCACCTTGGAAACTGTTGCATAATTTACCAATCTGGAACAGACCTGTTTGCAAGCTTGAATTCCAAATTTTAGTTAAAGCAAAACCTGGTTGGTGATCCTGTTGTCGCCTTTCTCGCCTGGTCCCCAGGATGGCATCGCTGAAAGTCAGAGCCTCACCTGAGCAGGCGACGTGGCAGTGGTTGTTCTCCTGCAGCTTTCCATGTCTGCACCACGTGAAGCTGTTGATCTGGAAGATGCCGTAGTCGATGCTGCCGTCATCCAGGACCCTCTGGGCCGTGGTGTTGTAGCCACTCTCGTAATACGCCATGCAGATCCCTGGAGGGGCAAAGCCAGAAATGCCACCAACGGAAGTGCATTGTTTGCTGTAAGCCTGGTCTGAGGGTGAGTTTCCTTATCCCTGTTACCTGACTGCTTCCTCCCAATACTCCTTGGGGCGGAGCAGGACAGGTATGCACCCAGGGGGCACACCGGGGGCACATTGGGGGCTGGGATGGCACACCTGAAGCTGCACACCTAGTCAGGGACTGAGCTTAACCTAGACCAAAAGTCAGGTCCCGCCCCCCCGCCATAATGCCAGCAGAGGTGGCGTTATTTTCCCCTTCCCTGGCTGGTGTTGTAAGGGCAGGACTCCAGGAATAAGGAAATGAGGGGCAGGGGAGGAAGGAGAGGAGACCCAGGGAGCCACAGTTAGGCTGGCAGCCCCCCCTGGGTGCGGTGAGGGCAGAGCATCGTTAGCTGGGAAGACACAGCGGGGAGTGTGGCCAGGACTTTAACATCTCAGGGCAGAGGTCAAGACAGAAAGAGAGGAGGAAAGAAAGAATCTCACAGTTTCCAAGGCTGAAGCCCCAGTAGTTGTCCAGGCCAGCCCTCGAGAATATTTTTGCCAGTTTGCAGCGCGTGTAGATTTTGGACTCCGCGCCTGTGACCAGGCAGCCAATCAGGGTCAGAATACCCGCAGCCTTCATCCTCAAAGCCTGCTGGAGACAGAACCTGCCAACGAGCAGGAGAACGGGTCAGATGATCTTGATTCGGGAACTTTGAAATCCAGCCGTGGTGACTGTGCACAGCCCTGCCTAGATGCTGCCTGTCACTTTGGTCATTCAGAGCCAACATCAGGCAAAACCGGCCACTCTACAGTCCAGGGAAGGAATGTGACTGAAGGCTGTTTCCTTAGTGCTTTTCCATACAGTAACTTTCAAGTCAATGCTGTGTTCCCAGGGTTAAGCAAACAAAAAAATTAACCCTCCAGGTGAAAACCACAGGGGGCATTTTCAGGATTTCTATTTGAATTTTATGAATAAAGAATAGAATACAAGGGTGAAACATTCCCTAGACTGCTGACCCTTGAACAACATAGGTTTGAACTGCGTGGGTCCATGTATACCTGAATTTTCTTCTGCCTCTGCCACCCCTGAGACAGCAAGACCAACCCCTCCTCCTCCTCCGCCTCAGCCTGCTCAGTGTGAAGACAACCAGGATGAGGGCCTGTATGATGATCCACTTCCACTTAACAAATAGTGAATATATCTTCTCTTCCTTACGATTTTCTTAATAACATTTCATTTCTCTAGCTTACTTTATTGTAAGAATCCAGTATAGAAGACATAGAACATACAAAATATGTATTTATTGGCTGTTTATGTTATCAATAAGGCTTCCAGTCAGCAGTAGGCTATGGAGCCGTTAAGTTTCTGGGGAGTAAAAAGTTACATGCAGATTTTCAACTGAGCAGGTGTTGGCGTCCCTGACCCCTACATTTTTTCAAGGGTCAACTGGATGTGTAGAAACAGACACCCCATTTCACCCAGAGATGATGCCTGTGTGGAAAACTTTAAGATTTATTGTTCGGGGTTTATCGAAGGGTGAAGATTAAGCACCTACTCTTTCATTTTCTTTCTTGGTTCAGTTCCAAATGTGGGAGTGTTGCTTCCAAAGTATCAGTGCTTTATTTTATTTTATTTTTTTTTTGAGTTGGAGTCTCTTGCTCTGTCACCCAGGCTGGAGTGCAGTGGTGCCATCTTGGCTCACTGCAAACTCTCCCTCCCAGGTTCAAGTGATTCTCCTGCCTCAGCATCCTGAGTAGCTGGGATTACAGGTGTGTGCCACCTCGCCTGGCTAATTTTTGTATTTTTAATACAGATGAGGTTTCACATTGTTGGTCAGGCTGGTCTCGAACTCCTGACCTCGTGATCTGCGTGCACCTCGGGCTCCCAAAGTGCTGGGATAACGTGTGAGCCACCATGCTCAGCCCAAAGTAGCAGTGTTTTATCTTAGATGGCAAATGCATTGCTTTGCTAGGCTTCACCACCAGTGCTCTGGGGAGGCCTCCTAAAAGTCTGGCACCTGACTGGGGAGCAAGAGGGATGGAGGACGATGGCTCACGAAAGGAAGAAAGCACCTGGGGAAGCAGAGGGGCAATAAAGAGACCCCCGCGGAATCATCTGAAATGGGAGTAGGATCAAGGGCGCTGTCTCCTGCTGCCTACTGATTTTCCACAATCTCCTCCTCTCTTGAAATAATGTCTTCCCCAAATACAGCAGCCTTGCTGGGATGGGGTGAAGTGAAATTTCTGACACCTGCTCGGGATCCTGAACTTGCTGTTCATACATATGTTCATCCCGTGTCATTTTCTGCACTTGCCTGGAAACTTCTCCAGTCATTAGTTTCTCTCCCTGGGGCTGGATTGAAAGGCTAGGCCCAAAACAGGGCTAAGTAGTCATCAGCAAGGCCACCGCACCAAGTAACAAGCGGGGCTTTAAGGTGACTAAGCAATAAGGTAAGGAACTGCATTGCATGAGGGGTATGTACATTACAAACGTGAATAGCAAGGGTGGGCAAACCAGGCCCACTTTTGTATGTAAACTTTGATTGAAACATAGCTACACCCATTTGGTAATATATCATTAGTGGCTGATTTCCAACTACAGGGACAGAGTTGAGTAATTGTGTTAGAGGCTGCATAGACCACAAAACTTAACATACTATTATCTGGCCCTTTTCAGAGAAAGCATGCCAGTCCGTGGTGTACAGCATGGTGTTAAGCTGTGAGGGACAGACAAACGAAGTTTAAGATGCAGAGCTAAGGCCAGGCACAGTGGGTGATACCTGTAATGCAAGCACTTTGGGAGGCTGAGGCGGGCAGATTGCTTGAAACCAGGAGTTTGAGACCAGCCTGGCCAACAAAGGTAGACCCTGTCTCTACAAAATATACAAAAATTAGCCAGGCATGGTGGTGTGCGCCTGTGGTCCTAGCTACTTGGGAGGCTGAGGTGGAAGGATCACTTGAGGCTGGGAGGTTGAGGCTATAATGAGCCATGATTGTGACACTGCACTCCAGCCTGGGCAGCAGAATGAGAGACCCTGTCTAAAAAAAAAAAAAAAAGAAAGAAAAAGATGCAGGGCATGCAAATAAAGTTGGTTTCCATCCCCTGCCTTAAAATTTTACTGATCTCAAACAAGTCAAAAGAAAACCTGCAGCATTTATAACCCCAAGCGTCATGTTCCACATCCTTTAAGAATCTGCCATTGCTGGTTCTCAGGGACAGGTGGCTTCATAAGAGTAATTCAGGTCTTACTGAAAAGGCAGATTCCTGGTGCCTGCCCCAGAAGCCGATTTCTCAGGTGAGTCTGTGGAAGAAACACTGCTCCACTTAGTCGGTGACTGGCAGCTCAGGTGAGCGTCCTGTATCCCCTGAAGCCATGTCTGATTCTCACTAGGTGCAAGTAATGCTTTCCTAGCTCAAGAACTATTCTTTAGAATGTCAGAGAAAGAAAAATTCTTAATCCTTTGTTTCTCACCACCTAGAGATGCTAGAATTCTACTTCTTGGGACTAAAAGCTATATCATCCTGCATGCTTGTGTTCTGAGGCAGGTGATAACTGTGTTCTGGGGCTTAATACCTCTTGTTTTTTCTCTTTTCCCCTCAACAAACCTCCTCACTACACAACTTGGCCCGGGCCTCCCATCCAAGTGACAATTCTTCTTTAAGGCAACAGTCTACAAACTTTATCACAAATTCCATTAATAAAGGAAGTTAAGCTTGTATCCTCTTTAGATGGACATTACATTATAAATCATACTTCTGTACCTCTGTACTAATATGCTACGTAAATTATCAACATACACAAAACTAAAATTTGAAAATTAATGACGTAGAGGTGAAATTAACATTAAAAATTTATTAACAGCACATTTCTTTGCTATAGTCAAATTATTATTAATAAAATATTTTTGTAATAACATGATTTTATTATTTTTGAAAAATTTGGTTTAACACTTTGTGAATCAATAACTAAAGAGCTGTTTTCAAAGTCTATTTATTTCAATGTTCAAATTTAGTGACACGTTTAAAATGAATTCTCATTGGAATATGTAGATCTAAGTAGAAGTTTATTGTTGGCTGCACCTAACTAATCATTATTTTTCTTAAATTCCATCTGCCAATAATGCAAAGGTTTTGTTGAAATCTATTTTTAAGTTCACGTAGTATTACATTGTGCACATACAACATAACATAGCCAACTTCATATTGATGCACACTTATTTTATACTTCTATTATAAACATATTACAGCCAGTAATTTTGTACATATGTCACTTGTACCTTTGCAAGAATATCTTGCTGGATCAAAGGGTATAATTTTGTAATTTTGCTAGATATTTGCCAAATTGCCTTTCACATGGGCTTGTATCAGGAAGAGAGCACACTGTGTTATCAAATGTTTCAATATTTGTCAATATTAGAGATGAAACATAATTCAGCAGAGTTTAATTTCAACTTTTGTTATTTCAAGCTTCTTGAGGGTCTTTTCTGTTTATCTTTAGAAGCCATTTGTGGGCCTTTTCTTGTGAACTGTCTATAATATGAGAAAATGTATACATTTTTCGCTCAAACCTCTTTTTCGAAATGTTTTGAAATAGGGATTGTACAATCAGTAAGAAAATAGAGGTAGATTGTCTTTTTTTATTTCAAAAATGCTTGTTTAGCAAGTTTTCAGATACAATATAAATATACAAAAGTCATTTACAGTCTTGTATACTCGGAATATAAAATAAGAATTTGAAATAAAAAAACATTTACAATAGTACACAAACACAAATGAAGTACTTAAATTTAAACCTAACCAAATATGTGCAGGATGTGTATGCTGACAACTATAAGACAGATGAAAAATTAAAGAAGACCTGATTAAATTAAAAAGATATACCATATTCATGAATTTGTTGAGTCAATATTATTAAGATTTAATCTATAGATTTAATGGAATCCCATTTAAAGTCCCAGAAAATTGTTTAGAAAAGATCAATAAGAGGATCTTAAAACTTATGTGAAAAGGCAAAGGGACTAGAATAGGCAAAACTATTCAAAAGAAGAACAAAATTAAAGGACTCATATTACTTGAATTTAGAACTTAATATAAAGCTGTAGTACTCAAGATAGAATGATATCGGTGGAAAGATAGACACATAGAACAGTGAAACAATGCCGGGCGCGGTGGCTCAAGCCTGTAATCCCAGCACTTTGGGAGGCCGAGATGGGCGGATCACGAGGTCAGGAGATCGAGACCATCCTGGCTAACACGGTGAAACCCCGTCTCTACTAAAAATAAAAAAAAAAAAAACTAGCCGGGCGAGGTGGCAGGCGCCTGTAGTCCCAGCTACTCAGGAGGCTGAGGCAGGAGAATGGCGTGAACCCGGGAGGCGGAGCTTGCAGTGAGCTGAGATCCGGCCACTGTACTCCAGCCTGGGCGGCAGAGCAAGACTCCGTCTCAAAAAAAAAAAAAAAAAAAAAAAAAGAACAGTGAAACAAAATAGAGAGCCTAGAAATAGTGCTGCACGTATGTAGTCAACTAACTTTTTATAAAGATGCAAATTAAATTCAATGGAAAGATGATGTTCCATTCAACAAATGGTACTAAAATAAGACTGTCTATGTGCAAAACAACAAAAATAACAACAAAAATAAAGCAAGGCATAAAGTATAGAAGAATACATACCTTGTATCTCAAATAAAATTCATTCAAGATGGATCAAAAGCCTAAATGTAAAAAGTGAAACAATGAAATTCTTTAAGTAAACATAAAAAATCTGTAGGACCTTGGGGTTGGCAATGAAATTTTAGATATAACATCAAAAGCACAATCCATGGAAGGACGAAAAAAAACAATTAGTTGGACTTGATCAAAATTTAAAACTTTTGCTCTTTGAAAGACACTTAGGGGAATGAAAAAATTAGCTACAGATTGGAAGGAATATTTACAAATCAATGTCTGATAAAAGCCTTGTATTCAGAATATACAAAAGACTCTTAAAATTCGACTATAAGCAAGCATATGACCCAATTAAACAAATGGGCAAATGATTTAAGCAGATACTTCAGAGAAGATATACAAATGACAAATAGGCATATGAAAAGATGATCAATATCATTGTCACCGGGGAAGTGTAAATTAAAACCACAATTAGATATCACTTCTCACTAATTAGAATTGCTAAAATCAATTAGATAACACCAAATGATGAATACACAGAACCGTAAGAACTCCAATTTATCACTAGTGGAAATGCAAAGTGGTACAGTCACTTTGGAAAACAGTTAGTCAGTTTCTCATAAAATTAAATGTAAACTTATCATATAAACTGACAATCACACTCCTAAGTATTTATTCAAGTGAATAAAAAACTTACATTCACACAAAAACAAACTAACTTATGTTTATAGCAGCTTTATTCATAATCACTGAAAACTGGAAGCAACAAAGATGACCTTCAGCAGGCAAATATATTTAAAAACTGTGATCTATCCATACAATGGAATACTACTGAGCAATGAAAGGAATGAGCTATTTGACTCCCGCAACAATGCGGATGAATGTTAAATGCGTTTTGCTAAGTAAAAGAAGCCAGACCCAAAAGATTACGTATTATATATAATTCCATATATATGACATTATGGAAAAGGCAAAATTTATGGGGATGAAAAACAGTCCAGTGATTGTCAAGGGTTAGAGGAGAAATTGACTACAAAGGAACCACACACATTCTATTTTATTTTAGGTCATTGGAACTGTTCTCTATGATACTAAGTAGTGGATACAAGGCTACGAGAATTTGTCAAAACCTATAGACCCATACACCACAATGGGAGAAGTTCATTGTATGTAAACTTTTTTTTTTTTTTTTTGAGACAGAGTCTCCCCCTGTTTCCCAGGCTGGAGTGCAGTGGCCTGATCTCGGCTCACTGCAAGCTCCGCCTCCCGGGTTCATGCCATTCTCCCGCCTCAGCCTCCCAAGTAGCTGAGACTACAGGCGCCCGCCACCACGCCCGGCTAGTTTTTTGTATTTTTAGTAGAGACGGGGTTTCACCATGTTAACCAGGATAGTCTCGATCTCCTGACCTCGTGATCCACCCGCCTCGGCCTCCCAAAGTGCTGGGATTACAGGCTTGAGCCACCGCGCCCGGCCGTATGTAAACTTTAAAAAATCATCCAGGATGTTGGGAAATACCAGGATAGAATTTAGTCTGTGACAAAAAGACCTATTACAAACGTATGACATAACCTTACTGAAGGCGTGGGAAAAGAGATGCGGATCCAGGTAACTTTAGAAAACAGTGTTTTGACTGAATATTTAAAGTCTAAAGACAAAACAGTCTGTACATAAACACTGTACTCCAGTTGGTGAATTCGCTTCTCACTGTGGTAAGTGTTAGCAATTCTGAAACTACCTGTAAACTAGCATTAAACAAATGAGGAAAAAAATTGCAGATAATGGGAGCCAGATTTCACACTGTCAGAGAGAGAAGTTAAAAATAAGCAAAAGAGAAAGACTAGAATTGAACTCTGTGACACTGGATTAGAGTCGGAGACATGAATATAAATCTGTCCATCTACCTAGAAACAGTGGCACTCCAGTAGCTATGAGCATTCTCAACACACAGACTTGCTTCTAATACCATTTCATTCTCCAGTAAAAAACGAAACCAGGACTCCTTAGAAAATAAGCTAATTTCAGGACTGAGTCAGGGAAAATGCAAAATGAGCTTAGAGTATCTTGTTGGTGCCAGAGAATAAGGAAATGCTGAGGGTGGGGGAGGCACACGTCTAAGGGACACAGGAACTAAACTGAGAAAAACCCCGATGGCCTAAACTGGGACAATCGCACAACAAAATAAATAACGATCGCACTGGATTCTAACACACAGAATAAAATAAATATATATGAGGACATACTGATATAAATAAATGACTGAATAAATAAATATCTGAGGATAAGAAACAAGTCTGTCTCACAGAAGAATTCTAAGTAATCTATATAGATAATCCCCCTCCAGGAAATGGAGCTTAATTCTCCTCCCTTTGAGTAGGGGCTGGACTGACTGACTTGCTTCCCATGGGTAGAATACAGAAAGGGGAAAATGGGGACTTTCTGGTGAAGAAACCCAGGGGACTCTGTCTTAGCCGAGTGATCCAGGTTAACCTCACCAGGGATGAGTCATGGTAGGTCCCCCTGACAGGACGTGACGAGAAGGGCACTTCATCTCTGTGGTTTTCTTTCCCCAAAATCCATAACCCCACTTGAATCGTGAGAAAACTATAATAAAACCCCAAAGGATGGACATCCACAAAATGCCTGACCGCTGCTCCTCAAGTATATCAAAGTCAAGAAAAGCAAGGCTGAGAAAACGCTAAACTGGAAGAGACTAAGGAAGTATGAGAACTAAAATCAATGCGGTGTCCT